CATGACTTCACATTACCACCGCTAAGCTAAAGGCGGCTAATGTTGGGCTATAAAGGAACTACAGCTCGGTCACATGACTTCACGTCACCACCGCTAAGCTAAAGGAGGCTAATGTTGGGCTATAAAGTAGGGTGACCATATTTTGATTTCCAAAAAAGAGGACATGCTGCCCCCAGCCTCGAGATACTTAATGATACTCAACGTTTACTCAAAGATGCCTTATTGTTTTAAAGTATGCCTCCTCTGTATGGATATACAATTATTATTTATATTATTTTACTGTATATAACACAATAATATCTCTGTATAACCAAAGACACACCAAACCAAGGTTACTCAACAATCAACATGCTTTATTATGCCTAGAATTATCTCTGACAAATCTCAAATGCACAAGAATAACTTAAACATCAACCTGTAACAAAATAATAGCTCTCTTTTCAAGTCTTACTGGACAAAAATAAATAACAAAATATATGAAATAGTAGAAAATAGAAAATCCAGCTTTAACAAATAATCTCTTTGTATCTTGTCAATGTAAACAATAAAACAGTAACCTCTAATCTAATTATTTTAAAAGTGCACTATGCAGTTTTGGATTTCACATTTGCATAATTGCCATTAGTGAACATAACATAACATTTGATTACCTAAATCAAACCAAACACATTTTGAGGCACCATGAACCAAATATAAGCCTACTTTAAATGTTTGTAAACACCATTCCAGGCCCTGTCTGTTGTGTACCGTCAAAAGGGCTAGTCAGTCATGTTTCATGTTTATTTTGTATTGTTTGTCACTTCCTGTTTTGTTTTTGTCACGTCTCATTTCAGGCCCCTTGACTCCCTTTCCTCATGTGTTCTCCCGCCCTCATCAGTATCAGCCCCGCCCCTGATTGTGTTCACCTGTGTCTTGTTGTTGAGTGTTTAAATTCCCCAGTCTCCCAGCGTTCAGTGTCAGTTCGTCTTGTCCTGTCCTCATGACAGAGCTATGCTCTTCAGCTCGTTTTGATTCAAAGCCTATGTTGGCTCCTGAAACTTATTATAAGTTTAGTTCCTCACGTTGTGAGTGATTTTCTGTTTTGCCTTGCTCAAACCTTTTTTGTCATCTCTTAAGAGTGATCTTCTTTTGTTACCTTTTTTGTGCAAATAAAGTATCTTAATTGTACTTTACCTTTGGCTCCCGGGTCGTGCATTTGAGTCCTTATCCTTGTGTGACCAAGTTCATAACACTGTCATTGGAAACAACCAGTGAAACGACAACTTTTCACATATTTCTAGCTTCAAACAGTTTTCTAGGGTCCCAATATAAAATGTAAAGTGTCTCTCCCAGCTACATAGCTTTCTCTGTCTGCATAGCTGCATACTTCAATCTTCTTCATCCTGCTTTTCTTCTTCATCCTCCTTCGATATTTAGCTGTGGAGCTGATCTTTCCCAGCAGTTTTCGGTTGCTCAACAAATAAGCATGAAAGTCTTTGCAAGACATGTCTCTCAAATAGTATTGCACAAATAGAATCCCCTTCAGTGACTCAACAGACAGCTGGTTCCTCTCCTTGGTCCACTGGCTCTGCATCAGTGAGAAAACCCTCTCAACATTTGCATTGTGAGAGGAAAGTGCAAAGACAAACTGTGCAATCTTCAGTAGTTATGAGTAACATGCAATGCTTCTGGTCCACTTCTGGAGCACCTGCAGGCCACTGGACTCCTCATCTCCTTTCTGTGAATCTCTTCAGATTGGTGACCTGGTCAAAACACTTGACATCATCAATTACCACCCCCTTCTCTCCTAGGAACTTGAAGCAGGCCTCCACATCCTTCCACTCTGGTGGCTCGCTCAGATCCATCCACGTGAATGTGGAGAACTCTTCCATGGGAGTCATCCACTTCTCCAGATACTCCAGACATGTACTGTACAGGCCTTGCACATCAGCACAGAACTGGTCATATTCCTTACCAAGTCCATCACTACGCTGTTGTGCCAGTAGTCCCTTAACTTTAAGGGACATGAAGTTGTTGCTCTTGCGTTCAAGAAGAATGGTGTGGATGCTGTTCATTATTTTCTTTACCTCCATAATGGAGTTCTTCTCCTTTTCCATGTCTTGAATGTGGGTGTGGAACGCAGACATGAGTGAGTGCATGTGCCAGAGGTAGATCTCACTGAATTCGTTTTCAAAAAACTTCTTGATCATATGGGTGGTTTTTGCTGAGACAGAAAGAATGCCTTAAGGCTGGAAACATCTGTATCGTCCTCTCAATGCCTGGGAACAATGACAGCCACCTTGTCTTGCTGTGAGAAAGCATCCTTCTGTATTCAATGTCAACACAATCACAGTACTCCTTCAGGCTCTCAGTGCGCACAGTGTAAATGTGGAAGTACTGGTAGATTTTGAACATGATATTCTCAAGGTCAATATCTATTGTGTCTGCCCCATGATGAACACAATGATTCAATATGTGTGCTGGACAACCCACACCGATCAGAGTGTTCTTCTGCAGGCAACCTCTTCAAATTTGCAAACACATTCTTTCCCCCTTCATCACGTCGGATTCCTCCAAAGTTTGTGTTGCAATTGTCGCCAGTAAATGCAATGCATTTTTCAGACAAATAGTTTTTTGCCAATGTTTCAATGAGATATTGTGCAATGGTTTCTGCTGTCTCATTTGGTGTGTCTTTAACCTCGATTCATTTTGTTTGCATGCCACACCTCTTCCAGTCAAAGTACTGAATTATGATTGGGAATATGTTCACTGCTCCGTGGTTACTCCCGTCTGTAGAAACACCACAGTACTGGATTTCTTTGAGTGCTTCATGTGCGACATCAATCGAGTGGGGCGCTATAACACCATTGACAATGGCTTCGGTTTCAGTGCGCGCACTACTGAATTGTTTGGCAGTGTCAGAGTCTGGAAATGCTTTTTTTAGCAAGGCACTTGTGCAATCCATAAATCTGTAGATGTTGTGATGTTTCACAGTGTGAAATGCAAACGCACCCTCCGCTGCATTTACAGCATCCTCTGTTTTGCCTGGTCTAACAAAGAAGTCTGTCAACTTTGCCGACAAACTCTCACCTTGCACAGCTTTCCTATGTGTGTCTGTGTCCATGTGCGCTTTAAGATCGCCTGCACCTTTATTGGACACACACACGCATGTGCAAGCTTTGCACACGGTGCACTACGCCTCCCATTTGTTCCGACCGGGTCGGTACATTTGGAATTTCTTCTGCAATTCATCTGTAAAAGTACATTTGCGCTTTGGCATTGTGAATGTGTGCTGCGGTCCGCTCTGTCCCCTTCCTCTGTTTGTGTGTCAGCGTAGTTGTAGAGCCGCCCACAAAGCTTCAGAATCAGGGATTACGTCACACACGCAACAGTGTACCGTAGTATTCTGTGCAATGCGCCAGTCAATTTAAGTACATGCAAACGATCCGCGAAACCCGGACATTTTCATGAATTTATAAACCCCCCCCCCCGGACGACCCGGACAGGGCGTGAAAAGAGGACATGTCCGGGCAAAAGAGGACGTTTGGTCACCCTACTATAAAGGAACTACAGCTCGGTCACATGACTTCACGTAACCACCGCTAAGCTAAAGGTGGCTAATGTTGGGCTATAAAGGAACTACAGCACGGTCACATGACTTCACGTCACCACGCTAAGCTAAAGGTGGCTAATGTTGGGCTATAAAGGAACTACAGCATGGTCACATGACTTCACGTCACCACGCTAAGCTAAAGGTGGCTAATGTTGGGCTATAAAGGAACTACAGCACGGTCACATGACTTCACGTCACCACCGCTAAGCTAAAGGTGGCTAATGTTGGGCTATAAAGGAACTACAGCACGGTCACATGACTTCACGTCACCACCGCTAAGCTAAAGGAGGCTAATGTTGGGCTATGAAGGAACTACAGCACGGTCACATGACTTCACGTCACCACCGCTAAGCTAAAGGTGGCTAATGTTGGGCTATAAAGGAACTACAGCACGGTCACATGACTTCACGTCACCACCGCTAAGCTAAAGGAGGCTAATGTTGGGCTATGAAGGAACTACAGCACGGTCACATGACTTCACGTCACCACCGCTAAGCTAAAGGTGGCTAATGTTGGGCTATAAAGGAACTACAGCACGGTCACATGACTTCACGTAACCACCGCTAAGCTAAAGGAGGCTAACGTTGGGCTATGAAGGAACTACAGCACGGTCATGTCACTTTAGAGGCACTAAATACTAATATCAACCTGAAAATGACCCACTTTAATGAACAATGTGAAACATGTTCCTGCAATGATCGTTTTTTTCAGGCCCCCTGTTGTTTTAATAAGCGGCCGAACAATGATCTCATTATGTAACCAGCAGGAGGTCAAAGGTTGTTGCAAAACTTAATGAAAAGTGTAATCCTCTCACTTAATGAAAACCTGTTCATAACATCAGTTTACACATGCTTTACTTCAATATTAAATACTATATTAGTGATCGTAGGCTAATATAATAAATATCATCAGAAAATAAATTGTAAAATAATAATTGCAATTTTGTTTCTAATGATTATACGAAGTTGTAAAGAAGAATTCAATATATGTATTTATTCATTATTTTTTGTTATGTCTTTATAATATTATTTTCTTATTTATTCATGCATTTCTACATTCATTAGTTTCTCTATTGATTACATAAAATATCATATTTATTTAGTGTTATTGTATTTGTAACTTACATTTAAATTGTTTTGTCACATACAATGGGATACACAAACAGAGTTGGAACACATAAATACAAAGCCTAAAAATCTAAATAAACAACTTTACCTAAAAAACAACAGCTCATAAATACTTACTAAATAATAAATGTATTTATCAAAACAAACAGAAAATCTCCGATGCATCGTTCCGGTTTAGCTCCGCCCTCTAAACTTTCTCGCTCTCTGATTGGTGGACGCGGAAAGAGCGCTGCCACGTTAGCGGAGGAGTGAGCTGTCAATCAGTAAAAGGGGGTGGGCTCTACAGCTGGAGTTGATACATTGCAGGCGTTCTCAAAGTGTTGTGTAGAAACGTTTAGAGAGGAAGGTAACGGCCAACTCGGATTATTCATCTCCTCCCACAGGAGAGGGACTTTTAACATCTGTATTTCTGGACATGGAGGCAGATAACAGCGAGCAGATGAGACCCCTCCTCACATCTGTAAGTCCCCCCCCCCCTTAAAGGGCTTTAAATGATCTCAGAAAGTGGAGACAGAGGAGGCTTTTATCCTAACATGGAGTCAGAAAAAGCTCCAGTTTGAATCGTCTGGTTTGTTGGTTTAGGTGTAGCTTTAGATCAGCTGGTTTCACACCGAGTGCTTCTGTTGTTGAGGGACCACGCTTCTGCCAGGAAGTGAAGTAATGATGCGTTTCCCCATCAGGAGTCAACTGTGCGATACACATCTAGAAGCAGCTGATTCCTGGGGTTGGGCTCATTAGAGAGACGTTGTTTTGAATTCTTAATCGGACTCTTATCTGACTGAGTTAGCGTCTATGTTTGTATTAGGCATGCTTCACATCCATTCAGCAGAAGGAGAGACAGGATGGTTTCAACACATCCTAATCCTCCAATCAGAATCATGCTAGAGGATGACACTATAGTGACCAGCGGTAACTATTCACTCAAGTACAATCTTTAAAGGTTCATTCCAAAGATTAAAAGGTTTTATTGTCATATGCAGAAGTGGGAGAAGTACTCAGATCTTGTACTTGAGTTAAAGTAGAAGTACTCAGATCATGTACTTGAGTAAAATAAGAAGTACTCAGATCTTGTACTTGAGTAAAAGTAGTAGTACTCAGATCTTGTACTTGAGTAAAAGTAGAAGTACTCAGATCTTGTACTTGAGTTAGAGTAGAAGTACTCAGATCATGTACTTGAGTAAAATAAGAAGTACTCAGATCTTGTACTTGAGTAAAAGTAGAAGTACTCAGATCTTGTACTTGAGTAAAAGTAGAAGTACACAGATATTGTACTTGAGTAAAAGTAGAAGTACTCAGATATTGTACTTCAGTACAAGTAGAAGTACTCAGATATTGTACTTGAGTAAAAGTAGAAGTACTCAGATCTTGTACTTGAGTAAAAGTAGAAGTACTCAGATCTTGGACTTGAGTAAAAGTAGAAGTACTCAGATATTGTACTTGAGTAGAATTAGTCAGATCTTGTACTTGAGTAAAAGTAGAAGTACTCAGATCTTGTACTTGAGTAAAAGTAGAAGTACTCAGCTCTTGTACTTGAGTCAAAGTAGAAGTAGTCAGATCTTGTACTTGAGTAAAAGTAGGGTAGGGCTGTGCGATTATGGCAAAAATCATAATCACGATTATTTGGTCAATAATTGATATCACGATTATTTTGACGATTATTCATTGACCATTTATTGAACTTTAAAACAAATAATATTTTACCAATAAACAAGATCAATAAATGTGTTGGAGCGCACTTCCAAAACCATACTAAACATATATTAATATGATAAATAAAAATAAATTAGACCAAAAATAAATGAAATCAAACATGTTGCAGTGCACTGTCACAACCTACTGAACACTCCTTAACATATAGCCAACATGTTGGTAAAACATATTCAACATATTCCACTCAGTTAAACGTTGAAGGCTGGCCAACCGTCATGGTCCAGAAGTAACAGGAAATACATGTTGAACTACAATTTAAGACCAAATAAAAATGTTTTGGCCACCATGGCAAATGCTGGTAGGGCTGCTCATGTCATCTCTTAAAGATTTTTTGCAAGAAACACCAGCCTGTTTACATGGTCTGGTTTCAGAGATGAGCGCAGGCAGGTGACGATATTGCCACCTGTACTGAAGACCCTCTCTGAAGAGGAACTTGTGGCAGTGCTGCCACATATGACACAGGAAAAAAAAGAAAAGACTCTGAAGAACCCTTTCTTTGCCATTATATAAAAATAGTGTTGCTACAAAAGTATAAATTAGGCTTACTAATAAGACAACTCAGATCTGAAGCTACACAGTAATCTGCTGCAGCAACAGTGCAATAAAAAAGACAACATTAATAGAATCAAACCCATTTTTTTGTTGCATTTTATTAGAGTATAAAAAGAAATGCCTTTAAAATAGGATGCAAGCAACACTAGTTTCTGAACTGATAGACTATAATCAATTTAAACAGAACAGATCTTAATGTTTGCATTCTTATACCATTTTGTACAATAATTATCATGAATAAATTCAAACAAACTAAAACTTACAGCAGATTAATAACGGTATCTAAATTGAGTTTTTATTATATCAAAAATCTGTTGAAATGCTGCTGTTATTTTTACTGTCCCACAAAAGCGCGTCGCAGCCTCCAGGAAAGCTTCTTTCATAACTTCGCCGTCTTCGAAAGACTTCATGTGTTTCGCAAGAACGTGACTGACACGGTAAGATGCTCTGGTAGCAGCCTTGCTCTTGTTGTTGGGCCTGGTGGAAATGGACTGCTGTGCATTTAGCTGTGCTCTCAGGCCCCTCCCCTTTTGGAGCGTAGGGCAGAATTAGGAGGGAATTCCGTCTCGTAGCGTTTGTGCACTGTTTTGAAATGCCGCTCCTAAATTACCCTTCTTCGATAAAGCCACGCTCGCATTGCAGATGAGACAGATGGACTTTGAATTGGAATAGATACAAAAATAATCATCCTCCCACTTGGAGTGAAAATTATATATTTTGGGCTTTTTTGCTTCTGCCATAATTGCGGTCTTGTGTGTGTGCGGACTGTCACTCCTGTTGACCATCCATGCTGTTGACACGGACAACGTCAGCGAACTAGTGCACTGCTCACCAGCCACGCCCGGACACATGGGGTGAGGCCGGCCAATCACAAAGCTTTGATGCGTTCAAGTGCATTATTCTGGCACGGGAACATTATGTTACAGGACATTAACGATAAAACAGAATATTGTTGTTCTATTTTTAGACACATCTCGCGATCGACTGGGAATCTCCCCGCGATCCTTCTTTTTAACTAGTTGCTGCTCTTGTTCTGACATCTTCGCTTGCGCTGAACACTCACAACACATGTCACTCCCACGTGGCCGAGTGGGCTTTTAGGGAGGGGCGAAAGCGCACCCAGCAAAATAATCGTATTTTGTCAATTATGCTGTTTTCCTAATCGTCGCAAGCCATAATCGTAATCGCGACTAAAATACGATTAATTGCACAGCCCTAACTCAGATCTTGTACTTGAGTAAAAGTAGAAGTACTCCGATCTTGTACTTGAGTAAAAGTAGAAGTACTCAGATCTTGTACTTGAGTAAAAGTAGAAGTACTCAGATCTTGTACTTGAGTAAAAGTAGAAGTACTCAGATCTTGTACTTGAGTAAAAGTAGAAGTACTCAGATCTTGTATTTGAGTAAAAGTAGAAGTACTCCGATCTTGTACTTGAGTAAAAGTAGAAGTACTCAGATCTTGTACTTGAGTAAAAGTAGAAGTACTCAGATCTTGTACTTGAGGTAAAAGTAGAAGTACTCAGATCTTGTACTTGAGTAAAAGTAGAAGTACTCAGATCTTGTACTTGAGTAAAAGTAGAAGTACTCAGCTCTTGTACTTGAGTAAAAGTAGAAGTACTCAGGTCTTGTACTTGAGTAAAAGTAGAAGTACTCAGATATTGTACTTGAGTAAAAGTAGAAGTACTCAGGTCTTGTACTTGAGTAAAAGTAGAAGTACTCAGATCTTGTACTTGAGTAAAAGTAGAAGTACTCAGCTCTTGTACTTGAGTAAAAGTAGAAGTACTCAGGTCTTGTACTTGAGTAAAAGTAGAAGTACTCAGATCTTGTACTTGAGTAAAAGTAGAAGTACTCAGATCTTGTACTTGAGTAAAAGTAGAAGTACTCAGCTCTTGTACTTGAGTAAAAGTAGAAGTACTCAGATCTTGTACTTGAGTAAAAGTAGAAGTACTCAGATCTTGTACTTGAGTAAAAGTAGAAGTACTCAGATCTTGTACTTGAGTAAAAGTAGAAGTACTCAGGTCTTGTACTTGAGTAAAAGTAGAAGTACTCAGATATTGTACTTGAGTAAAAGTGGAAGTACTCAGATCTTGTACTTGAGTAAAAGTAGAAGTACTCAGATCTTGTACTTGAGTAAAAGTAGAAGTACTCAGATCTTGTACTTGAGTAAAAGTAGAAGTACTCAGATCTTGTACTTGAGTAAAAGTAGAAGTACCAGAGTGTAGGAATACTCTGTTACAGTAAAAGTCCTGCATTCAAAATGTTCCTCAAGTGAAAGTAGAAAAGTATTCTCATCAAAATATAGTGAAAGTAGCGACAGTAAAAGTAGTCGTTGTGCAGATTGGTCCATTTCAGAATAATATATATGATATGTTTTATAATGATTGATCATGAAAGTGTTCTCAAAGCTGGTGAAGGAGCAGCTAGTTTGAATGACTTTGTATTCTGCAGGGTAGCTGGTGGATTTACTCCAGGTGGAACTAAAGTCTGATTCAACACTTGATTAGATTTCACATCATTCATCCACATCTGTGAAGTCACTAAATGTATTAAATACATTTAGTGGAGTAGAAGTACACAGTAGCAGAACATGGAAGTACTCAAGTACAAGTACCTCTAAATTGTCCGAAAGTACAGCACTAGAGTAAATGTACTTCGTTACTTCCCACCTCTGCTTTTTCTTACAATTGATCTTCTTTAAATGTTTATGTACGCACCCCCGTCCTCGTATATTGCACCTGGTTCTGCTGCGTGATGGTGATGCAGGGAAGTACGTGGGCCTTGTTTGAATTCCCTTTCAGAGCAGCTTTTAGCAGCTTAAAGGCACACCAGGGGTCTCTTATTAAAACACGGATACAGTTAGTTTGCAGAATGTGTGTTTCCTCCTCTGCTCCGATTACAAACTAGGGATTAAAGCAGGTTGATGATCACAACCAGTGTTTCCCAAATGATGGGGAGGGTAACATGTGGACTAATTAAATTGAATGAAATTGTTGTTCTTTGACAAAATACACACATTTTATTTTTTTTATAATTTCAGCAAAATTCAGGGTGTTTTCTTTGCAATTTTTGTTGTTGTACATTACTACGTTTTTAATTATGAATGTTTCTTTTGTTTTAAATATAACGTTTGATGTCTGTTACATATCCGAGTTTGTCTCTCACAAATGTAGAGTTTTTCATGTAATATTCCCCCTCTCAC